TGAGGTGGAGACTCAGAGAGAGAACTAGGAGGTGGAGACTCTGAGAGAGCACTAAGAGGTGGAGACTCAGAGAGAGAACTAGGAGGTGGAGACTCAGAGAGAGCACTAAGAGGTGGAGACTCAGAGAAAGCTCTAGGAGACTCAGAGGGAGCACTAGGAGACTCAGAGGGAGCACTAGGAGACTCAGAGGGAGCATTAGGAGACTCAGAGGGAGCATTAGGAGACTCAGAGGAGCACTAGGAAACTCAGGGGAGCACTAAGCGATGAGGACTCAGAGGAAGCGGCTGAATGCGGGCTGGCAGCGTGAAGCGGAGAGGCTGATGTGGTAGCGGGAGGCGCAGAGTCCACTGTGGTGGCGAGGGGCGCAAAGTCCGCAGCAGCAGTGACTGGAAGTGGTACTGGTCCCGAAGACAACGGAAAGGCTGTAGCAACGGTGACCGGAGGCGTGGCTGAGGTAGACGCTGAAGACGTGGATGGAGCTGAGGTAGACGCTGGAGACGTGGCCGGAGCTGGAGCAGATGCAGAAGACGTGGACGGAGCTGAGGTGGACGCTGGAGACGCCGGAACTGAGTTGGTGGAGTTGAAAAACGGAATGTCCGGCTTTGCATTTAGTTTAGAGTGTGTCTATTTAAAGACTACTTCGAAGAGTAGTAGTCTTCGAAGTAGACTACTACTTCTAAGACTAGTAGTAGTCTTAGACTAGTAGTAGACTAGAGACAAAGGTAAATTTAAAAGACACCAATTAGCCTAATCATTTTTTTCCCAAATAGGAATTCCAGAGCACCCGCAGAAAACCTATGCATTTAGTTTAGAGTGTCTCCATTTAAAGACACACTCTAGGAGACTACTTCGAAGAGTAGTAGTCTTCAAAGTAGACTACTACTAAGTAGTAGTCTGTAGGCTAGAGACAAAGGTAAATTTAAAAGACACCAATTAGCCTAATCACTTTTTTCCTCAAATGGTTGGAAAAAGTCTTTTCGGACGTTGTTATTTAATGATTGGAACTGTCCGTCCGTCCGTCCGTCCGTCCGTCCTTCCATCCGTCCATCCATCCATTTTCTTCCGCTTCTCCATCCGGTTCGTATCGCAGGGGTAGCAACCTAAGTAAGGAGGCCCAGATTTCCCTCTCCCCAGCCATTTGGTCCAGGAGTTCCCAGATCAGCAGAGAAACATAGTCCCTCCATCGTGTCCTGGGTCTTCCCCTTGGCCGTCTCCTGATGGGACGTGCCTGAAACACCTCACTCACCAGGGAGGCGTCCAGGAGGCATCCTAACCAGATTTTCCGGCTCAAGACCATGGCCTCAGATTTGGAGGCACTGATCCTCATCCCGGCCACTTCGCACTCGGCTGCGAATCGCTCCAGTGAGAGCTGTAGATCACGACCTGATGAAGGCAGTAGGACCACATCTTCTGCAAAAAGCAGAGGATGCGATCTTAAGGCCACCAAATCAGATCCCCTCAACACCTTGGCTGTGCCTAAAACTTCTGTCAATAAAAGTATTGAACAGAATTAGTGACAAAGCAGCCTTTGCGGAGTCCAACTCTCACCAGAAACGAGCCCGCGTTACTGCCGGGAATGAGGACCAGACTCTGATACTGGAGCTTCTATAGCTCAGGATCAGATCACCAAGGTCCCCCACCTTCAGCTGCCATCCTTTTGATGCTGCAACCCACCCCTTTGTCCCTCCCACAGGTGGTGAACCCATGTGAAAAGGGAATCAGTTCTCGCGTTTAACCCCTATACCGTTATCTACTGTGGCACTCCGGCCTGCTCATTTTTCTCCGTTCGGTTTCCGTGGGACAAACCTTCTTGCCTGCCAATGTATAAGGCCGCATTTCAGGCTTCCTTTTGCTGGAGGGTGTTGGCTTCAGCTTTGCTTGTGTTGTGAGGTTTTCATCATTAAAGGCTGGCTCTATCTTTCCTTCCCGCAGAACCAGAATTCTTCGATTACATATGGATTTTGTTTTGGGTAGCTGGGTTTTTTTTTCCTGGATCGGTGGTAGAGGTTTGAGTTGTTGAGCGTTTGTTTCTGTTTCAACTTTGCTTTGATCAATATCACCTTCTACCTTAGCCCCTTTGCTCTTTATGGTTGCCTTCAAATTCTCATGTTGCTTCTTCTCAGTTATGTACATTTCTGTCACCTTACGCACTTGGTTGGTGACTTCTTTAATGTGATGTTGATCTCTCTGCCTGCTTTCAGATAGTAACTTTAGCTGACAATTTAAGGATTTATTTTCTTTCTTCAGGTCTCTCCAATCATATTCTGTGTGGGCTAAACTTTGTTTCACAGTCAGAGCCTCTTTCTGTTGCTGTAAAGCTAAGAGCTTGGAGGTCTCAGCCTGCTGCTCCATGAGTTTACTCACCTCCTGTTCTTTTTTCGTCAGATGTTCTTTTAATGTCCTGTTTCGCTTTTTTTCCACAGTTAATGCGCATGAAGATAAATCGACCCTTGCTTTAAACTCTTGTTTAGTTCTCTCTATGGCTTCCTCCATTGGGGTTTTGGGAAGTTTCTTATTTTCCTTCTCTACCTCTTTCAAATACTTTTCCAGAGCTTTTACCCTGGCTTCAAGAAGTCTGCACTTCTCTTTTTCTTTCAAAAGCTCATTATTTTTCATGCTAATTTCGTCGATTTTTCGGGACACCTCAACCTCAAGTCTCTTCACTTCACTTTGTTGCTTTTCAACCTTCGCTTGGTATGCTGTGATTTCAGATACCATTTGCCGTTTTTCTGCCTCAATCTTCTCAACCTGCAGTTTTGAGTCCCTTTCAAAGTTTTTTAAAGAGGCTTGAAGCTCTTTAACTTTATTTTTGTAGTCTTTTATCTCAGACAACAACTGAGTCCTGTGGGAACTCCGGTTCTCTACCTTGTGTTGTAACTTTGGGATTTGCTGACTTTCCAGGTATTTATTTTGCTTGAGAGACCAGTTTAGGTCTTTGGTGAGTGAATCAATTTTCTCATTTAGAAGCTCATTTGTACATGAGATTTTTCCAAATCCTCCTGCAGTATGTTCTCCTTAATCAGCAACGCAGATTTTTCTTTAATCCTTTGCATAAAATCCATAACCATGAGAGCCAATTCATCTCTTGTCATTTGTCTAATTTGGGACTTTGTTAACGAATCAGGGTCAATTTGTGACATTTTGACTGTCCAACCGATGTATCAGAAAAGCTACAAAAAAATGCAATGTTAAATCCAATATGGAAAAACCAACGCCCGTGCTGCTTCTTGAGCTTCTTGCAAATTTGATTCAGATGCAGGACATTCAAGGCATCCGTTTCTTATGACATCACAACACTTCGACATCATCAGATTCCATCAGTGGAACAATGTAATGTATGCTATGTTGCTAGGCAACAGCAAAGCCAGCTCACTTTCCAGTCTCCTGGCTGTTTCTACTTTAACAGCCAAATCTTACAAGCACATATACTTTTTATCCAGTATCTTGAGTGAGGAGTCAGTAGTCTTTCCTAGTCACTTGTTTCTTACTTCTGGTAAGAAACAAAGGGGTTACAGAATGACTTGAACGTTATATGACACAACAGGTAATTATTATTAGAAAATAAAGAAAGCTTAATAAACGGAATAACTGGAATTATTGTAGGGGGTCTTAATCATGAATTGGATAAATGCCAAAAATCAAATAGGACAAACTACTACACAGCAGAGTTGCATTCTTTGTTTCAACCATTTTCACAACCAGTTGAACAGAAGTGAAATTTATTTTAGGTAAGATCACAGATTGGGGGTAAATTTTTTTTAAATTTACATTTGTGTAATAATATTTGGCCATAATTATCAGGTTATTAATAATATATTCCAATTTTGTGTCCTAAATATAAATGCCAAATTTAATTGCTGTAAGTTACAGTTGGAATATTTAAATTATTAGTCAGCAACCAATTATGAAGATCCTTCCAAAATTTAGATGCATAACTGCAAGAAAAGGATAAATGTTGCAAAGGTTCTACGTCAAAAGGCACAGTCATTTGCCTCAATATTAAATTTTAGTCTAAAGTATTCTTTACATGGATAGATATTATTTAATATTTTAAAATTAATTTCCTTTGTTTTGGGGGGTAGAGGGAATTTTAAATAGCTGCATTTTTTTTTTGCATACACTAAAAGACAATTCTTTAAGTATATTTCTTCTTTTCAAGGGGGAAGGGAAAGTCTTTTGGATGATGACTGTTCTTGAAATTTACTGTTGCAGTTTTTGTCTATAAAAATGTAGTCTTGGATAAACAGTGGGTAAAGCCGTGGTACTGAGACTGTATAAAATAATGAACCTTGTATTGTGTTAATCAAAGCCTGACAGATAGCTTTAATTCATTAATCAATTAATTAATCAATCAATTAATTAATTAATAAGCAAACTAGCTGAAAGCTAACTTTAGGAAAAAGGCTTGGGCAGCAAGGCAGTTTAGGATAGTGAAAAACCGGCAGTTGGTGTCAGTTACACTCCAAGGTTTCGCTCGTTTTTCGCTTTTTACGTAACTCTGATTCCCAATAAAAAATAATAGCACCCATCTCGCCATCGAGCTGCACATTTTGATACCATTTTTGTTGGTGGGCATGCAGCGGTTAGAGCCGCATTAAGGGAGACGAAAGAAGAAGAAATAAAGATATAAACAGAAATTCTAAAGGCAGTCACTGCTCTTCCCTATGTAACGCAAATGGCAGGCCCCAATAATAAATAAAGCGTTGCAAGCTGGCTGTTTGAATGGTAATGTCCAAGCAAATTAATGGAAAATTGAGTGGAAAGAAAAGATGATGTATAAAATATAGCAAATGTAGGGGGAGAGGAGGATTCCCAAGCTGTCAGAGTTTAAAAAGGAACCAGAAACCAAGTCATAGGTGTCTTATGTCGGCTAAAGACAGAAATGACTGGACTGTGGCTCAATGGCTCGTCCTTTTTTTTTTTTTAGATAAAAGTCAAAACTGAATTATGGTTTAAAATTAGCTGTAAACCATAATCAATAAAACAAACAAAAATGAATACTTGATATATTTCCCTCTGTGAATAGCAAATCTGGAAAATATGTGGTTTAATTTTTTTTAAACTTATTTACTGAAATAAATAAATTTTTTCAATTAGATTCTAATTCATTAAGATTCAAGGAAGATGCTGAAGATCATATAGCTAATAAGTAAAACTTCACTGGCATTTAACCTTGGCTGTTAACTGTGGAGGTTTTGCATTGTCTGAGTAGTACAGTGATCATTTTTAAATAACTAAAAAAAAGAAAAAAATTTAAAACCTTCTAAATTCACCATTCAAACATTATAAAAATGTGAAATTGAGCTTATTGTATGTAAACCTAACTACAATTATGAAGGTTTTTGAGATCCACATTCTCTGAGAACTAGAGGTATTGGACGCCACCTACAGGCCAAAATCAGCAGCTGAAATTGCTCATGCTTCGACTTGGATGAGACTGAATCATTATAATGGTCATTAATATTGTCCTTTGTCAGGTGACAGTAACATAGTAAATCTATTATAGTGTTAAAGTTCTGTTTCTCACAATCACATCAGCTGTTTATCCAGTAACAGGATTTCCTTTTCCAGCTTCTTCATCTTCAGTGCTCTGTAGGCCATCTCCTGGTCCCGATTCTCCATCTCCTTTTTGAGGTAACAGCAGTAAAGGGTCCTTAGTTCATCAGTCTGCTTCTGAAAACATATAAGCAGAGGTATGTAGAGTACCCAAAGATGTTCTCAAGTAGGAGTAACACTACTTCAACATATTTTTACTTGAGTAAAAGTAAAAAATAGCCATCCAAGAAATTATGCAAATAAAAACATATTTGGTAAAATAAAAAGTCTACTCAAGAAATGTGTAACTAATCAAATTATCAATCATTTAATATTTAAAAAATACATAGTCAGATAGACAAAAATATAAATATAAGTGGAAATGTTGGTGATTTAAGGGCCAAAATGAAAATAATTCATTTTAGTAATGAAAGAAACAACAAAATGAGGCAAAAATTTTTTTTCCCAAATCAGTTTCTTTAACTACATAACTTATGAAATTTTAACAAAAACTGCAGGTGTGTGTCTGTGTGTGGTGAATTTTTGGTTAAAACATGTTTGTCTTTCATTCAGTGAAGCAACTAAGTCACTTGTGGGTAGAGAATCCAGAAAGTTTACTCTAGTACGAACAGCGATACTTCATAATAAAATTACTCAAAAAAAGGTAAAAAGTACAGCGTAGCACATTAAAAAAAAAAAAAGTTACTCAAGTAAATGTAACTGAGGAAATGTAACTCTGATTATAGGTCTCCTAAACAGCACATGTATAATTGTTATATTTCTTTTCACTTATTTAATCTGTCTGTCGCTGAATCCTGACTCTCACCTCAGCACGTCTGGTCCTGCTCGTAGTCCCTGCTGGGCTGCCGACCTCCTGAAAACTGCTGTGCTGCACATCCTTCATTAAAAGAAAACACAAAAATTCAGTGTGAAAAAGAAAAATTGGATAAATTGGTCAATGAAGCAGGAGTGGAGGAGTCTACCCCGTCAAAATGAGCCTCGCTGATGTCCGTCTCATCGCCGCTCAGGCTCTCTGGTTCCGTCTTTGTGACGGGCAGGAGGAGGACCGGATGGCCTGACACTTTCGACACGTCGACAACATTAAAGTCGGTTGTCTCCAAATACAGTAAAAGGGTTTAAAGAGTCTTGACTTAAACTTACCGCTCATAAAGGAGCTGTCGGATCCACCGACGGGGCCGATGCAGGCGCCTCCGGGTAGGACCTCCACCCTCATGGTGTTTTCTCTGCTGTGCACCCCGTCCTCCTCTGCTGAGGTCAGAGAGGGGCTTCCCGACCCTCCCTCGGTCCTCAGCACATCGGCCCTTTTTCTTTTTGCTGTGCAAGTACGAATTTCAGAGCAAATAATTGAGCACAGGCTTATGAAATGGAATGAATTTACAAGTCAGTCGCTTAGCAAGGTCTGACAATTAGTACAAACAAGCATCAGGAAGAAGGGCGTCTAATACTTGAGTCTGTTGTTTCCCAAGAGTACCTGTTTGGATGATGTTCTTGTGCTTGACTTTCACTTGCTGCCATGTTCTTTTGTAGCCACTGTCTGAAACCCTGAGTCAGAAAAAAACAACTATTACTTCATGTACTGCTTACATATTGAAACTATATCAGGGTTTCCCTCAGTGTATTATAAGCCAGGCGGGCCACCAGGCTTTGCTTGTGCCCCCAACAGGCTAAGCGTTGCTTATTTATTTACTTTATTTTATGTTTGCATTTTTTAAGACTTTATTGCTGGTGTTCAGATATTAATCTTCCAATAACATAAGATTATCAAGTGATATTTTCATATTTCCTGTCAACTTTAAACATTTTTAAACTCAAAAACGCGACGAGCCGCTGCATGAATGACTACAGAGCGCCCAACCACCGGGCTTAGCGAGTTTTCTGGGGGAAATCTTGTACTATAGAAAATAAAAGCATTGCCAACCCTTGAAATTTTTGTCACATTACAACTACAAATTTAGTCCAAAGTTAGTCCGTGATGTGAGTAATGTGACAAAATAGGTTAGAGATCTAGTGGCAATGCATCGAGTAAAGACAGGATGAAAGAGCAGAATGTTTACAGGACATTTCCAAATTAGGATGACAAGATGAATTTGGTGCTCTTACGCATTTATTTTATCAGCAATCCTCTGCCAGGCTTCCTCCCTCAGCTTGGAGGCGCTGGTTGTGTTGGACTTGGCTGTTAGGATCTCTCGCTCTTCTTCATACAACTTCAAAATAAGTTCTTGCTCCTTGGAGCTGAAGAAATGAGCCCTCTCCTGCTTTTTATTCATCTGGTAATCTGTGATCATAAAAAACAAGTGAATGTACTTTTTTTTTTTTAGACCGATGTATGCTGTCTAAAACTCCTGCCTCCTCACCTCTGTCTGCGTTCATCATCATCATCATCATTGTGATCCGGGTCTCTACGTGCGACTGCTCTCCCCTGTGCGGCGGAGCGAGCGCGCGCACTTATCCGAGATGTTTCAATGCTAGATTTAGTAATCAAATCGTAATCCGCTGCAGAAAAACGCTGCGAAACCGAGCCGGGTCGGCGCCACGGTTCGATCCGGGATGCGTCACGTTGTAAAACAGTTGTCCAGGAGACGGAACCGAGGAATGATAACCGTTGTCACCGGGTCGGTATATCGACAAGCTTTGTTAACCCAGGATTTTCTAATTCGGCTTAAGGCGCGTCCACGTGAAAGAGGTGGAGTCCGTAACAAAGACCGAGTCACACGTAACGCAGCGTCGCGTCATTATACGACGTTGTTAAGCTGCTGTTGCGCTATTAGGAGGCATGAATGGAAAACACGAAACGGACTGAGAAACGTATTAAAGAGCCAGATTTCGACGTCAAATCATTGGCGCATCACTGTTGTTTCCGCTCTCAGGTGAAAATGGTGTCTTGATACGAGGTGGCCTGCAAGGCTGGGTTCCAACATGGCCGGGATACTGTTTCTGCAACTTAAAACCGGTTGGTGCAACTCAGTCTGGGCGCATGCAGGGAACTTTTTAAAGAAGCCCACTCAAAGTAATATGAAACTACTATGTCATAATTTTTTTTAAAAAATCATCTTTATGTTACAGGACCATGTCAGAATTAAAATAAAAAAATCAGCTGTACAAGGCATCCCATTAATGCCGAAGGTACATAATTAGTAAATGTTAAACCATAATAAAACCGCAGACACTGAATAGCATTAGCGGGTTACAAAAGCATCATCAAATTTCACCAACATTAAGTTCTGTGACTACAGTTATCTCAGATTAGGACCTAAAGGAAAACAATTGTTTGACCCACACAAAAACTGAAATACATCTTCTTTCCTTTAGCTGTTTTCAATCAGTGGTTCCCTAAATTTAACACCTTTTTAATTTTCCATTTTCAAGCCAAGTCTTAATACATAATGAGCAGAAACTGGAAACTGGAATAAGAGCAATGGTAATAAATTAAAATAATTTCATATGATTTGATTTTAAGGGCATAATATGAGGAATAAAATTCTGCGATCTTTACCATCCCAACCTAAACATGTACTTTATGACAATGCATTTCTAAGAACAAAACAACTTAGAGTCTGCTGTATAAAACTAGCAGAAATAAGAAAAACACAAAAGACCAAAAACACAAACCAGTGGAGTCAATAGCCATTTTATTTAAGTCAAGTAAGTTTAAGCTGATATTTTTGTTTAATGGTCCAGAACAGAGGAATTGTTGGTTCAGGTGCTCCAATGTGGGGAGCACAGAGGTATAAACAATAAAACTTCCCAAAAAAATAGACTGCAAATAGGAGTGTGATCCTGTAACGATAGCAGAGGGGGCTCTAGAGCCAGCGCTGACGTCTGGAGAGTTTAGTCATGGCCCTCATAGCCATCTGGAAGAGCATTCACATGAGAGTTGTGGAAGAGGGTTTTGTTGCCATCTCCCCAGGGGAAACGCTATTTTGGAGAAAAAAATAAAAAAAAACATCAGAACAAAAATAAAGCAGCAAAATGAGACAAATCTGTAAAACTGTTAAATAATGACATCTGACCTTGGTGCGAATGCGAAGGTGGGTGTATGGGACAAACTCTGGTGGTGCATCATGGCTGTGCTCCTTCTCTTTCAAGAAGGTGTTCAGCATGCACACTGCGACACCAGGCAGCGCAATCACAAAGGTGAGGATCTTCCATGTTTTAGCTGTTGAGAAATTATTTCATAAACCAATGAAAACATGTGCGCTCACAGGACTGAGAGGAAAAACAAAAAAAGGCAGGAAGCAGAAAGTCATCACCATTTGTACACCATTTTATATTTTCATTCTGTACAAACAAAAACTTTAGTGCATCACTTTACGTCACCTGGTAGTTCAGAGTTTTCTGCAGAGGAAACTAATAATTTTATTTACCGGGTTTTGCACCGTTCCACACCTTCCTTGTAAACAAACCATGTAGATATTTTGGTTGTTTAGAGATAGTAAAAAGCTACAACGGCATAAATTCTGTCTTCACGTCTAAATTTTTGAAGTCTTTTACTAAATATCAGTGAAAATTATGACTCATGGTTTCATCAGCAAGTCATATTTTAATTGGTAGTTGGTGGAGATTTTCTTCACCAACCTGAGTTATTCTAGCTGACTCCATGGCCACCATCGTAGCAGAAGGAGCTGTTGGAGTCATCACTCCTCATTGACGCTCCAGGACACACTACGTGTTAAGAAGTTTTCGTAGCATATGCCATTTTTCACCATGTTGGAGTTGTTAGCAATTTTCAGGTTAGCAACTACAAAGGATGAACTTACAGGCTTAGGCACACAATTCAGGTCAGATGGTGTTGGAGGAAATATGTGGAACTGGAAAGGTTTTCAAAGTATCAACTGTTTAATTAAAGCTGCACCAAAATCAGGAGTTCATCGAAAGTCAACGACTACACCGACACTTTTCAGGACTAAGTAGAACAGAATTATCCCAAATGAACAAAGTGGATTCAGTTTCAACAAACCTGTCGTGGAATGATGATTTTTTTTGTGCTGCTTTTGCTGCAGTAATTTTACCCAGACGTTCATGCAGACTGTCCTTGAATTATGCAACGTTCAAATTAGAGAAAATCTGTTGGTTCGTGTGTGTTGTGAGCATACAGTATAGAAATATCAGCTGGCAGAGAGTGAGTATGCATCTATTTTTAGTATGCGTCTATGTGCATCTATATACACACATCAGAAGCTGCACTGTGATTCAGAGCAAGGTTATCTCACAGGTCACCTTTTCACACAACAATTTACTCTAATGCACATATTTGTGATTTATTAGACTACTGGCTGTCAACAGTGGACCTCAGAACTCACCGTTTTTCACATTTTAGATGAGTCTCTGCTCCTTCTTTTTCTTCTTTTTGTTTTATGGCAGTTGGCAAACAACTTAAAGGTGCATTACTGCCATCTTCCAGACTGGAGTATAAATTAGATCTCCTACCACTATAATCTCCCCATAATACCCGACTTCCTACGAAAACTAAAAATGCTGTTAAATACTACATCCTCAAACGATCTTTGCAGCAAATTTTTAATATCTACTTTATTTTTATTTCTATTTAACTCTTTGATTAACACCTCTCTTTCCTGACTATACTTATTACATTCTAGAAAAATATGCTCCACTGTTCTCTGCTCCAGTACACCTGAATCAATCTGAATCTACCTGCTCAGGTGCAGAAGGTTGTTAATCAGCCATTTATTAAAGTCAGGTGTGTGGAGGAAGTAAAACATGTCGGACTGAAGGTTCTAATGATTCAGGTCGAAAACCTTTGCGTTAGAGGAATCGAATCGTCACTAAAGTCAAATTTGTTTTACGTCAATATTTTATAGCTGGCTTATCACTACACCGCGCTATTTTTTTCATTTCTTCCTCACACAAATTATACGACTCTGATATTGCCTTATAGCATAAACATTTATATTTTGCCGCTTCCACTCTGACGTTTGAATGTAATAAGTTAAGACCTAGACGACCGACTTTAAGTTTAATCACCAACATTTTTGTTTTAGAGTAAAAAAAAAATTATAATTTACGAGGCGCTCCGGAAAACTCAAGGATGTAACAGGGTTGCTAAAGAAGCTAACGCTAGCTCAGCAAGGTCACACTCCAGCCGTAACCTGCTGTTGTGAAGCTCTGCTAGACCGCATCCGCTCACTGAAAATCAGCAAACACTCATAATTACCCGAGTCCCCGCCATGTTCAGCGGCAGCTGAGAGCTGACGCCGGGTTTGAGTCAAAGAAGACCTCAACAACATCTGAGAGAAACGTCCGAAGGCCGCCATCTTGCTTTCTGAAAGACCGGTGACCGGAAACAGTCATTTGTAGAGATGCAGTCACGTGAGACTTTTCAAGAGCTCTACTACGCCGCCAAGCAAAAGAAACAAAACACACAAAAAGGTCGTTCTTTTATTGATAGGTAAAATTCAGTTAATTTCTGTAGTGTTACAGTACTGCAGATGAAGTCCAGACCTCAGCTTCAATTAAAAAGTTAACATAGTACCATAAATAAATGCTGAAAAGAATGAGCTGAAGCCATTTCACAGACCTGGCCAACATCACTTCAGTGAAACACTAGTACACTTCCCTGACAAAGTACATGCCTCAGTTTAATGCTGTAAAACCTGATTTGTGTGTACTACTTGATCATGGAGAAAAAAAATGTTCATTGACTTAATTACTATTATTGACTTTTTTTATTCACATAGAGTAAGAAATAAATCATTGTTACCATGACTGTGAGAAATTGTCGCTGTAAAGGGATTGGATGTCATTATAAGTGCAGCCACCAACAATTTAGGTTGTGGACTTAGACAAAAAGGAATTTCACAAAGAAATGGTCACTCTAATGACTGAACCACCTGGATGGATTTTTCAAAAATAGTCCAGGGTCCTTGGTGAACCCATCCTACAGCTTCTGTGTGTTGACACCTGGAAAACACGAGGGTTAAAACTCCAGAGCAGTATTTACTTACCTGTTAATAGCTAACATATTTGGCCTCATGATGAACAAAAATATTGGGTTGATCTCTTATCTGATTCTGAACTCACAGTTTGTCTGTGGACTGAATACTGACTGCATCCAAGGCAAAACAAAAAAACAAACAAAAAATCTTGTTCTCCTTTAATAATGGAAACTCAGTATCAACCGTTTAGCACAACGGACAGCAGCTTGGATCAAGCAGATCGCAATATCAGCCAACAAACAGGTAAAACTTCCATGTCATCTGAATTTCTTTCTGAGTTACTTCAGACATCGAGAAATCAGAGTGTGAAATGTGTGTGTGTCTTTTCAGGGATGAAGAGAATATTGACGTACATCCTCTACAGCGTGCCGCTGCTGCTGCTTTTGATTCTGCTCTTGGTCATAGGGGTCATATGTAGGACTTTAAGCACATCATAACAAGGTGGATGAGTAATGTTACTACAAATCACACTTTGATATTATTTCACAGTCTCTCAGATGAAGAAGGAAATGACTGATGTCAAACTACAGCTCCAGATCATCAACAATAGAGGACCAATGTCCTTATGTACTTCAGGTAAAAAAAATAAAAAAAAACATCAAAAAAGGAAAAAGATCTCTGATTTCTCAGAATAAAAATGCAGACAAATTTGGTCTCTTAAAACAACTTTATGCATTTCTGTGGTTTCTCAAACTAAAGGTCCTACAGATGCAAAACAAGTCCTGGTGGAGAGAATTGTTCCAGTTAGAGGTATAATTCAAGTATCTTTGAACAAACAAAATCTTTGCTTTTGATCCATTTTGACTGTGATGATCCTTATGAGTAAGGAACTTGCAAGGAGGGCTGGGCGAGTTTCCAGGGCAGCTGCTACCTGCTTTCCACCACCACCACCGTCTGGCAACGAGCCGAAGATCAGTGTAGATCATTTGGAGGACACCTGCTAGTTCTTAACAATGTGGAGGAACTGGTGAGGTCCGACTTGGCTCCATAAAACTGCAAGCACACATAATGAAATACATAAATATTCAGTTTTATACCCCATTGATATTTATTACATATCAGTATGTCAAATTTGCAAATCTTAGTGTAGTTTAATGGGATTTGTGTTTCTGATCAACACAAACTAGTGCACTGATTGGAAGTGGATGGAGTCTGGTAAATGTTTTCCCCAAAACTTTGGTGCTAGTATAAAGCGAGATGTTTGTATTCATCTCGCTTTATGCTAGCAATCCCAAATAAAAGCCAGCGCAACTGAGTCCCATTTTCAGATTGCCTCAAAGCATCACAACAAACATGTGGAAGAAGGTGGTGTGATTAAATAAAACCGAAATTAAACAGTTTGATCTAAATGCAAAGAAGACAACACGTTGAAGACACAATACCCACGGTGAAACAAACTGGAGGAAGTATCATGTTGTGGGGATGCTTTTCGTCAGCAGAAGTAAGGAAGCTAGTCAGAGTTTAGGAGAAGATGGAGGGAGCCAAATAAAGGTTGTTGAGGAACACCAAATTAAAAGCTGTAAAAGGATTGAAATTCTAGTAAGACAAGGACTTTAGACCCCAATAGTACACTAGGTTCTTGATTGTATTGTGATGAAATGTGGACACGGTCAATAGTTATGAAATACTTTGTAATTAAACAAAACAAACACATAAATCTATCAACTAAATTGTGGCTGAAGATACTGAACATGCCCTTATATTTTATTCCAGGACTACATTTCAGGCATAGTTGACATCAAGTATTCCTACTGGATCGGACTTGTGGAGCGACAGCATGAGGGCCACTGGAGCTGGGTGGATGGAACTGACTTTGGCTCGACCCCGACGTGAGTCGAAAGTGAAGCCTCAAGATGGAGACATAAAACAATTGAAATAACTCTTTGTGCTGTTTGGTGTTTAGATTCTGGGACCAGGGTCAACCTGACAACTGGGACTTCAGAGTGAACGGAGAGGACTGTGGGCAGCTGCACGCCTCTGTGAACCGCAAGCGCAAGCTGTGGAACGATGCAGACTGTAGCCTGGGCTACAGGTACATCTGTGAAGCTAAGGCATGAGATGGCATTATACGTAGCTCATGCTTTGTTGATATGCCCAGACTGATGAGGGGGAGAGGATGGATAAAAGTCAAACTATTTGACCTATTAGAACATCTGTTAACCGGTGGTTGCCATGGTTTTCTCTTCCTCACAATAAGAGTTCATTTGAAAGCAAAAGTATTCACTCTCCTTGAACCTTTCGACATTTTGTCATGCCACATTCACAACTTTACCGTCATTTATTGGGATTTTATGTCAATGTCCAACTGAAAGTAATAAAATTGTTAGAATGGAAAATGATTCATGGTTTTCAAAACTTTTTACAAAAAAATAAAACAAAATAAAACAAAATTTGAAAAACAAGGGTCTGTGTCCAGGTTAGCCTACTCTGATATTTTTAAAGCTAACGCTGGTTCTAACACAATGTCCGAAGACTTTAATAGCTTCAATTTGAAGGGTGAGCAGCTGAATATATTTGTTTCCATCGGAGAACACAAGGCCATAATTTCCAGAGTTCCTAAATTATGGGGCTTTGTTGGAAACAGAGAACGAGAGAAAACGAATTAAAATGTTCACAACTGTCCACTAGATGGCAGCAGTAATCATCGTCCTGCTAATACAACTTTTAAAACAAATTTGCTACATAAATTTAACAGTCATGATCAGAAGATAACACATAATAATAAACAAGTGTACAGATAATGTATTAATAAAGATAAAAAAAAACCTGTGAATTTAGTAAATTTACTGGCCTCTTACCAAAAGAAATTCTAAAAGATTTCTTTGGAGAAGTTAATGAGCTTAAATCTGCCTTGGCAAAATAAATTTTGGAATCATAACCATGTTAATTATTTGAATTTAAATAAAGTGTATTGCGTTTGTTTGCAATGTTTCTGAGATCATCAAACCATATTCTGTTTCCAACTCTGGATTTGTAGAGACAGGAACCAGCAACCATCACATACTCAGCCTTAGTACAGACACTCACTCGTCCACTCAGCACAGAAATAAAGCAAATATACTTTTCTAGATAGGTAAAATAACAATGGGAAGTTTTTAATTTAATTTAATTTAATTTAATTTAATTTCCACTAGAGAGTTAATCTAACCACAGAAATAAGAAACAGTTCTTTTTTTTCTTAATTATGTACCATTTGGGGCCCTAAAAGAGCTTTAATCGGCTGGACTGCGGCCAACAATTGCTCCTTTTGTATGATAAGGTTACAGAAACCTGGACAAAATAGATTTGTGTGGTAGAATGGCCCTGTTCTGTCACTGAGAATCTGAGACAAGACTTGAAAATTGATTCTCACCAGTCAATGTGACTGAGCTCAAGCTCTTTAGCTAACAACACTGGCCAAAAAAAGTCAGTTTCTAGCTTTGCAAAGCTGGTAGAGACATAGACCAGATCCAACAAAGATTCACAGCTGTAATCGCAACAAAAAGTGGTAGTGTGAAGAATTGCATCCAAAATTTACATATTCTTATTTGTAAAAAAAATGTCCTTTAGCTTTGCAGTTCTGCAGTACTGGAGTCTATCACATAACCAACTGTGCAAAAAACTACTCCATGCATGGAGCACATAACCAAACCCAGATATAAATCAACACATGCACTTATGTTTACAATCTTGTCACCTCTGTCAGATATTGACGTTTTGCGTATTTATAGAAAGTAATCTAGTTTGGAAGAAGTTCAGCGCAAAGTTGTGGGAATTCTAGCAAATGTCACATATTTATACAGCTGAGTTTGGGCAAACTTTTATTGATACAGGTTTCAAAAATACAAACCTGAGAGATTAAAGGCTGATGTTGGATCGGGACAATAAGTCGATTCACCTGAAAGTTACGTTCACAACTACTCTTTAAATCTTTCAACTTTTGCATCCAAACATTTAATTTTAATCTTTTTTGTAAAAAATACAGCTAAACACATATATTTTAAAGATCTATAAATGTTTTTGATGATCTACGAGTATAATAGTTGACAACAGACTAGAAGAAGGTGGATTGTGAATATAAGGAGTTATTAGAAATGGATGTTTGTAAATGTGAGATTCTGCCACTTAATCAAGCAATAATTAACTAATATGAATGCAAGCAGCAACATCATGTGGGATAATGATGATGAAGGACCAGGGAAGAGGAGCAAACATACATGAATTGATTTCACATAGAAAATAGCCTTTTATAGATGATTTATTACTGACTGATGTTTTCAGGCCTTTATTTTTGTCAATAATGACATGCAGCTGACTAAAACACAAAATTAACAATTAGAACATTCCAATAAGAAAGACAGCTTTAACACAGAAATGTTTGCTTAATAAAAGGTATGTTTGATATCTGCTTATTTTAATCTTTTAGTCATATTGAATATGACTGCACTATAGGACAAGCCAGGAAGTGAAGAGATGTTTTTCCTTGTTTTTGTTGTGATTAGTTTGTTCCCACCTCTGATCTCTGTCTCCAGTAGAGGTCCGATGTAGTCAGGTTTGATTCCCTGGAGAACCAATCGCAACGCTTGAGGGACTTGATTAGTTCAATGCGATTGATCCCACACACACAGAAGTCACGCATTAGGATTGGTCGGACCAATCAAGACAAACCCTGGACAGTGAATACCTCCCATCCCCCCCGCTGTGCTTCTTATCTGAAATTTGCTCAGGCCCCTCCGTCCTTTAAGAGGACGCCGCCACAGACTGCAGCCTTCTTCAGATCCACAGTCATGAACATGAAGGCTCTTCTGCTGCTTCTCGCCGGTAAGCCTCTAAAAGCTCTCAACACTTGACCTTCTGTTGCCTGTGTTGATTCGTCCCACCTCACCTGTCTCTTCCAGCGTGCGCGGTCAGTGGGGGACATGTCCCCCAGGCCGTTTGGCAGTTTGCGGAGATGATCAGTTGTGCCCAGCCGGGTGTTAATCCTCTGGCGTACAATGAATACGGCTGCTACTGCGGCTTGGGGGGCTCTGGGACTCCTGTGGATGATGTGGACAGGTGAGATGCAATCCACTTTTTAGTTTTTTTAATCATGTTCCGACCTATGACCTCTCGTCCGCTGCATGTTTAGGTGCTGCCAAGTTCATGACAACTGCTATAGCCAAACAATGAAGATTCCCGAATGCGAGGGTATTTTCGACCTTCCCTATGTTATCGATTATAATTTCAGCTGCTCAAACAAACAGGTGTATTGCCCAGGTAAGACTATGAAACACTGATTAAATCTTCATGTTCTGTATATTGAGACTTGTACAACCACAGATTTACTTTCAACTTACTGGGATTTTATGAGATAGACTTAAAAAAGTTGTTCATCATGATGAAGTGGGAACATTTTTCAAAGATATTTCATAAATCAAAACTGAAACAGATTCAGCTGCAAGCGTTTTAGGGCACGTCTGCTATTATTGTTCATCTACAGAAACAGACATTTTTGTCCATCTTTCTTTTTTTTCTTTTCTTTTTTATATCGCAACTTCAAATTGGCTGGAGAATATCTGTAAAAACCCATTACCAAGTCTGTGTGTTTAGGTCAGGACTTTAACTAGGCCATTCTAACAAATTAGAATGTTGTAATCGGGCTCACACAACTGCTATTAATAACTTTTAAAAGATAGATAAAGACATGAGGATTGTTCTTAATCATTAAGTTTACAGACAAAGTGAACTTAATGCTTCTGTTTTTTATGTATAAAAATAGAATTTCAACAGAATAACTGTAATTCAGTTTTTTTATTCAGTTCTTTTATAAAATATGGCATCAAATGGCTTTGTTTTTTGGGTAGGCTTCTTGTTTTGTTTTGTTTTTTTCACTTATTTTTCAGTCACCCACCGCTACTTTAGTAGTTTGAGTTTTTTGCTTTGTTTTGAGATCTAAAAATAGATATAATTAACAAAGTTAAATATTAAATTATTTTTCATAATTCTGTAGACCATTACATCGTATTTATTTATATAACATAAAATATTACAAGATCTAGCTTTTTCTATGTGTCAAATAGATTTTGCTGTTTTATACAAGTTTTGCTTTGTAGGAGTAAGGGTAAAAATGTTTTCTTGGACAGAAAGTTACTCAACCCTGATCTAAACATTCATCCATTGTTGCTCTGGCTGAATGTTTAGGTTTTTTTGCCATCAGGAAGGCAAATCTTTGCTAAAGTCATGGCGTCCTGTTAGAAACACACGTGATGAGATGGTGCGTTCAGGGTTAATTTTTAATTTAACTACAGCACTTTGAATGTAGACCAAACAGTTAAACTTCTCATCTGACCTGAGCACCTTGTTCACTGGATTATATTTAGGGGTATTAGATATTTAGACTACATCAATAAGCATATCCCATTTTCATTCTTGATAAATCTTTCAAATCCATGCATTGTTTTTCTTTCACTTCATGATTGGTCTATCACATCAAATCCCAATAAGAACATGCATCATTAGTCTATTTATTCTCTACCAGGCCCAGATTCTCTCACTGGTTCATATTTTCTCTGTGTTTGCAGCGACCAACAATAAGTGCCAGGCTGCAGTTTGTGAGTGTGACCGCGTGGCGGCGCACTGCTTCGCTCGGTACAATTACAACTCGGAGTACAAGAACCTGGACTCTAAGTACTGTTAAAGACTCGCAGAGCTCGACGTGTGCGTCACAGTTCTTCTCCAAATCGGATCTGTTTCTCATTCGTGATTATGAAATAAAAGATTGTGGATTTTCTTAAAATGATAAAAATTTAAAAAAGTTTAATAAACTGGTCATATGCTCTGCTCATGTGTTGAGGTTCCGTCACTCCAGGTCTTGTCGGTACCAGATTTGTTTCACCGTCGATGTTTCTTAAAGTTACAGTTACCCATTCACTTCATTTCCTGTCTAAATACTGCGATATAAATCCCATTAAGATAATAAAAATCTTCCAAAAATGACAAATGTTCTTCGTTCAATGTGAACAAACTTTTGGAAAGTTAATTACTTTTTTTTTCGCCTTTTTTATGCAAATTGTCGCTTAGATACTAGCTCTCCTTACAATAGAGACCTGTTTTTAATCATACAAAAACAATTATAAACTCAGAAAAATATAAGCAATTAAGAAATTTAGCTCAATTAAATAAGCTAACAGAATATGAACTAAAAACAGGAGCAGGTTTGACAAAAAGATTTCTCTTTTTATTTTTTGAACAACTTATTCCTTAAAATTGTTCTACTTGTTAGTGCATCACATAAAATTCCAATGATGATGGGACAAACATTTAGAAAGGGATTATGCATAAAAGAAGTACTGCATCCATTTATAGTATGCATGCAGCACAGTAAACTATCTTAACATATTGCTTTTTTGTGTTTAATTATAAATCATTTAACGTAGCCAAGGAGCAGAGGAAAGCCGTGGGAACTCCAGAGATGTCATTTATTTACACAGCTGTGCTGATGGCTGAAAGATTGTCACATAAATGAGCCTGAAAAACACAAAACTGAGAGACTTCAGAGAAACCAAAGAGAAAATGGGTTCCTATTAAGGGGATAATGGAGACCCTTAACCACGGTGCTGCAGGGATGGAAGGACAACACAAAGACAACGTGCAGCCCAGCCAAACAGCACCATGTGCAAGTCTTCAGATAAGATCCACATTTATGTGGCATAAAGACATAAAGAGAAATTATAAAAAAGGTTATTGGAGCATGCAGAGTTCCTTTCACTGGGATTAAAGAAAATCCGTCATACAGGAACGCACGTTGTACGTTGACATAGTACAGTCAGGCAAGTGTTGTTCTCTTGGCAACCGCTAAATCCAAACTCACTGGTTTGATCTCCATCAGAGAGACATGATCTACTCCAGATAACGCGTCTCCACTGCTTTAGACCAGTCTGCTTTACACCATAGCATTTGCTTTGCATTTAACTTGGCAATGTAACACTTGGATCAAACTTCTCATTTCATAAAGCTCTCTACTCTTATCACGGTACCACTCTGGAATTCTTCTTTTTCTAACTAATGTCTCTTGTGCTGAATTTTAAATACCTGTGGCTAAGGAAGTGCTAGGAACACCTGGATTCAGAGACCTGGAGGGGCAATCGTCTTTATTTCATTTGTTCATGATTGTTTTGCTTCAGCTATTGGTCTCCCTGTTGCCTTCCAAGAAGAGGCCTCATCCAAATAGACTCCATCTCCTCAGGGACATTATAACCAAAAATATGCAATCCACCCAAAGAGGAACACATTATGACTGACTGGTCCAAGCAAGAAAAATCTCGAACAATGTACACCTCCCACCTCGCTTGTGCTAGTCTTATCTGACTTCTCTCAGCTCTGCTGTGCAAACGGACTCTATATCCTTTTGACTGGAGCCATGAGCGTGAAGGCCCTTCTGTTGTTTCTCACCGGTAAGCCTGCAGAAACTTCTCATTTTGTCCCGTAGATCACAAATCCACATTATAAAATAATTCTTCCTCTGTTTGTTTGTCTCATCTCTCATGTTTTTCCAGCATGTGTGGTCAGTGGAGGATGTCTTCCCATGGCCGTCTGGCAGTTTGGGGAGATGATCAGTTGTGCCCAGCCTGGTGTTAATCCTCTGGCTTACAACGAATACGGCTGCTGGTGCGGATTGGGCGGATCTGGAACGCCGGTGGATGACGTGGACCGGTGGGAAGCAGTCCGTTGGTTTCTTGTCAACAGAAGAGGATGAATCGCTCAATGCCTTCTCACTTTCTCTGCACTTTTAGATGCTGTGAAGGCCATGATAAATGCTACCAAAACAGCAGAAAGATTCCTGGATGTGAGGGTGTTTTTGACCTTCCCTACATTATCATTTATGGCTTCAGCTGCTCAAACAGACAGGTGTACTGCTCAGGTAAGACCAACAGGCAGTGATGATTTAGATTTGTTTTGTAAATCTACTCCTCTCTCATTGGTTACTCACTTCCCTCAAGGAACTCCATTCTGGATTAAATAACATAAAACTGCAACAACGAACATTTCCAATAGATGATGTGATTTGCTGATATCTATCGAGTCTATTTCGGTTCTGTTACTTTGGCTATGTAGTATGACTTGTGGGTTTTCACTGACATTGTGCAGCATTACAGTAAAAGAAGGACAAAGCTGTATTTTTAGACACTTTGCAAAAACACTTATGTTTGAATGGTCACAAAAGATATTACCCAGTCAGTTGAGGTGGGCTGCTCAATCCAAAAATAGTGAAAATATCAAGTTGGTACCAGTTTCAGATCAATACAAGATCGATGCTTCGGTTTTAACGTCCGTCTTGAAATTTTATTTGATTTTTGTTATAAGTTCTTAGCTCTACCTCAATATAGACTTTGGTTTGATTTGCTCTCAAATTATAATTATTTGTACTTTATTTAGAAAATATGCACACAAATCATGTTAATGTGTGCTAACATGATTTGTTTACATTATTAAAGTATTTTTGTAGAGACCTGTAAACTTAGTTTGATGATATATCAAAATATATTGAAGTATTGATACAAACAAAAAGTATCGGTACCAGTATCGTTATTGGCGTTGCAGGGTTTTTATTTAGTTGGTATCGCATTGATACTAAAATATGCAGACTCTGACATCTCTACTAGACAGGACAAGATCCTTTCACATGCATTTTATATACAAATAGTATCTTGTGTATGTTTTCAACATTTTTTACAAACAAAATCTGAATTGGTGAATAAAAAGCATCATGAACACGCTAAACTAGCCAGTCAGGCAAAAAGAGCATTAACCAGAAGAGAAGCCTTTTTTTCCCCAGCTGGGACAGTGAAGGTGGTCAGGTTTGATGGGGAGAAAGATGGAGCTAAAACATCCTGGAAGATTAAGAAAGAAATATTCACATTTTGGAAATTTCATGAGTTTTTTCCCCACTTTTTTTTTTCCTGTTTACAGCAGCCAACGATAAGTGTGAGGCTGCGGTCTGCGAGTGCGACCGTGTGGCGGCTCACTGCTTTGCTCGGTACACATACGACCCTGACAACAAGCACCTGGATCCTCAGCTCTGTGTCAGCTGAGTCACAGCACACAGAGTACGACATGCGCAGCACAGCCGACCTCCAAATCTGATGCGTTTCTGGTTAGTGAACGTAAAATAAAAGATGTTTGATCTGCTCACGTTCTGTCACCATCACTGCTTCCTATTTTCAACCAGTGCAGGACTTTTTGCATGCTGGGGATTCACGTGTTTTATGTTATCTATCATTATTTTGTAGACATCGGTTTTCATTTTGATATAAATTTTTTTGTTTGTTTGTTAATCGTGACCGATTGCTTTAGAATAAAAAGAGTAAAACATCCGAGGTCAAAAGTCCACAAAACTAAAGACTCAAAGTTTTTAAATTCTTTGTCTTATCTCATATTTAAGTATAAATATATTGGTTAAATATGAAGAGTGGTCAGGAACCTGCACAAAGCAAAGACAGAACTTTCAGACAAATAGAGAAAGCAGTAGCCCGAAAGCGACACAGTTTCTATATAATCTGTTTCCACACTTACCCCAAACCTGGAAAATACTTTCAATCGAATCCCATTTTCTTCTCCTCAGGATAGGAACCTCGTGGTTTTACAGATTCCCGTGCAACCAGACCGTCTCCCATCAGCAATTTACCATCAAACCCAGAGTCAAGATATAAAATGATTCGAAGCAGTCACATAATCTTATGCGGCAAGGCCAGATTGATTTATTCACACATTGACGGTATGAAACATTGTGAAAAATATTAACAGAAAAAGAGCTTAGTATTAACAAGTTGATAAAACAAGAGATCAAAGAATAGTTCAGAATGCTTTGTTATAAAAATGTTGGTCCTGTTTCATCATTAATCGTCATTAGAAGTAGCAGCTGTGTGGAACATTAGGTTGATGGTTGGCTCTCTGGGTTATATGGGTTTGTAGAGGAGAGTGGTCACGTATTTCTTTTTGTATCGGTGAGTAGCGCTGAGAACCATCACCCCGTCCTAAAACACAAAGAAGTTTCCGTTACAATTTGTACTGAAATATTTCTTCTGGATTACAATCCAGGTGTGAACTTGAGTCTACATGATACTAGGTCTTCTGTTAGCGTTAGGCCTGTCATGAAAAATTTTTCTGGACGATAAATTGTCCCAGAAACTATTGTGATAGACGATAATATTGTCATTTTGAGGCAATTTTCAACTAATAAAATAATCAGAATAATAATGACATGTTATTGTAAGTAGACCATCTCAAAGATAAAAAAAAACTTTTAAAGAACTGGGAAGAATTTTAAATATCCAAGATAAATAAACAAAACAATAATAATTAAAATATATGATCAAGTCTCTTAAAACAAAACTGAAAATTATTAATCATTTAGCTTAAACAGGGAAAACAGGAAAAAGTGAAAGTTAGGCTTATGCTATTCTAAAAATCCATTCAGTCAAATAACCATAGACATAAATGTTTAGTGCGGGATGCAGGACTACTTTCTGACCGTTACCTTAATGGAGAGGGCGTACAGGTGATTCAGCATGACGTGGTTAGGCTCTGGAAGTAGTGTCGGGTCACACTGAAGGACGATTCAAAATAACTTTTTTTAAAGATTATTTCTTACAAAAAGGTGCAACTTCCAGACTTAAACTTGCGCCGGCATGAGCTGTGGACTTACAGAGACGCCCGTGTCCTTGTTGAGCAGCACTTGGAGCAGGTGGGGCGGCAAGATAGGAGGCTGCTTGATCTTGTCGTCTGGCTTGATGAGGTATCCGTCCTGTTGGTAGGGCCCGGGTGGGGAACTGGACAGGTCTGGCACACAACAATCACTTTAGTTAAAAAAGAATCACGTGCTGAAGACTGAGTCTACAACTATGAAGACTCGTTTAAACTAAAGATGCAGCGATCAGAGTATGGCGGCCAGCTTCTGATTTTTGTAGAGCAGTGGTGCAACTGTCCACGTTTACTGAACTTTAATTGCACTGATTTTTTTTTTTTCTTTTTAGGAAAAATGCAAAACGCAATTTATTTCCAAAATGTTTCAGTTTTACCTAGAGATGCACTGATCTTGACTAAAAGCTGTTTGTGGTTCTATTTGCTATTAAACTGAATTAAAACAAAAAAAAATGGTTGATAAACACCAAGTACTTTGTGATTACCTTTAATTTGTATGTGTATTTTGGGAGGCGTCACATAAGTGAAAATTTCATTCCAAGACTTTTTTCCAAACATCAATTTCCTGAGCTAGCAAAACATATTTGTGCCTCTGAAAGCTGCAAAAGGCAACTTGTGCAACCTGGTCGTAGAGCCTTCACAATATGGATTTTGGACACTTTTAAAGTGTAATTAGCATCTTGTAACAGTGATTAGCACTGTTAGCATAGGCATCAGCACTACATCATTTCAATACCCACCTTAACTGAGATTTCCAAAAGATATTTATATGCAAGACAAAGGTTAAAAAATTTAACCTAAATTTCTTCAAACATTCACTGTCATCCTCTGAAAGTGTTGCTCTCTCTTGATATCCTGCAGCCCAGCCATCAGTAGATATGTCTCAATACGTCATGTAAAATACAGTTTCCTTTAAAAAAGGCCGTCATTCACCTCACTTCAGATTTTAAACATTTTAAAACTATTTTTTCCCCACTCAAAAACGACAGTCTTGATGTTACTATAACTTGCTAGCACTAAGGTTTGCGACATTTCTGACTGCACAGGGCCAGTCAAGAAACGTAGCTAGTTACTCCGTACATCTCTTGTTTAAACACACATTGCTTCAAATGTTCAGTTTCAAATGACATTTAGTGTAGCTAAAAGCATTTCAGTAACGCAGCTGCCATTTACCAAACATGTCCGCTGAGTCCTGCGAGTCGATCTTGAGGGCATCGAAGACTTCGAAGTCAGTTTGATTCACCTGAATGACGTTGTTGACTGTGCCAGTCTTGGTTGTTGTCACGGACTGTTGGAGCACAATTAGAACTTTGGTACAAGGACTTAAGAGAGCAGACGAGACTGACGTATGATGTGGAAAATCGAGTCGCCCTTAGTGGTGAGGTGACATCAGAAACCTTAAACTCTTACTCACCCCAGTCGGATCCAAAGTCCACTGTCCGTCAACGCAAAACTTGTACTGGTGCTCCCCCTCTGGCAGGTCCACAATGGCCACGAAGTTATTCTTACTGTGTTTGAGAAGCAACATGTCAAACGTATTTGAAAGGATAAAGCACCAGTTGGGTCAGAAGAGAACGACTAACACAGCTTGAGTCGTAGTTCGGGTACCTCTTGTTAAGAGGGATTTTGGTGGCCCAGTTGTTAAAAGAACCAGACACAAAGACTTCCTTGGCTGACCCGGCCCATCTGAAAACGGTTGGTCTGGCCTGCGCCGGCTCCTTACTGTCGTAGTCGAGGTCCTGCTGCCAGGCCAGAAACTCCTGTATGTCTGGGGAAGCCTGGGCCCGAAAGACATCAAAGGTTGGTGTCAATCAGAGGCAATTATTCTGACACCAAGCACTTCCTGTCTGAACAGCTGGGAACAAAGGGGCTCCTAATCATCTTCTCTTGACATCTATTTGAAGTTACTTTTACCAATGCAGCTCAAGTCTTCCAGAGCTAAACTCATACAACAAGTGAATAACCCGACAGAGTCACCAGCCCGTTTGATTTCCAGCAGATTTTGCTGTGTGGCTGACTTTTCCACTCCTGTGAGTCTGAACCCAAATTTGAAAGCACGACACACAGTTGTTTTGCATGGTGTTGGACTTTAAGACAATGTCAGAAATGTTTGGGAAGTTTCTGAATGCTGCATTATTTATAGGACGACCACAGGAGGGCGGTACACATCGGTGTGCTTAATATGCTGTAAACAAAGCCACATTTATTGGGAATGACAGCTCACAACGTTGTCTATATCGTCACCATCATAATTCATGTAAATGACCCCTGACGCTGCCGTCCCTCCGTCTTCGCTGGTGACTGATCTTGAATGGAAACCTGTGGCTGAACGTACCTTCGGATCTTCCCTGTGGAAAAGCTCTGCGTCGTCGTTGCTGTCCATCATGATGTTGGGTCGAGCCTCCTTCCCTCCAGACGGTCCATCTCTGAATGACCTCTCGCTGCTGGAGCGATCGCTGTTGCTGTTGCCCATCCTGACGCTGCCTGCATCAAGCGCTGAAACGCACAGAAACACACGAAAAGCTGCTGCTTTCAGAGACAACCTGCCCCCACCCCACGCCAAAAAACAAACAAACAAACAAACAAACAAATGCGATAAGAGATTCAGCGTTACACACAGGGGGAGAAAAAACCCACCAGTATGATCTCAGGATGATATCCGGTTTGCCTGCTGTTGTCTGTCTGGTCGGACGGAGGAGGTTTGGCTTTAGGGGCAGCCTGCATGTGTTGGTGCTGCTTTCACAGGTCAAAAGTCTCTTGTTTGGTCGCTGTTTCCGTCTTTGGAGCGGAGAAGTTTCTGTCTAAAGAAAAACAACAACAACAAAAAAACCTCCCTGAAAACACTCTGGCTAGAAAAAGACTGGACCGTCACAGTATTACAAATTGTTCCCAGAATTGCTTCTCCTGCCTATTAGTGTCCCTGTCCTGTTATTTTCGCTGTTTTCGCCATTTGGAGGAAACTTGAGCGTGTCTGTGAGACAGGACACGCCTCTTCCGCCCCTCTCCGGACATTAACCCTGTCATTTCCGGGTCTTGTCAACGATCTTGTGTAGTTAGTTTTTAAAAGAAAATGTGCCAACTCGGACTTATTGAGCCATTTTTATTTTGTTGTTATACAATTTCCTGAGCTGCTTGAGTGCCACGTTCATTTTTTTCAATTCCTCATGATGTTAGTTTACGTCATCCGCAGGGGAAAAAAAAGTGTGTAATATTTCATTATAGTATATATTCTTGATCGTACAAAAAAAAAAAAAAAAAAAAAAATCAATTTAATTTTTTTTTACATTTGGTACACAGTTTTGTTATTATAATTTATTGTTCTGACCCGTAAACGTGTTCCAATACAGGGCCGGCCCAAAGTTAAATGGGGCCTTAAGCAGCACTATGTTTGATCCCCCTCTTCATGCTAACTACATGCTGAGCAGATGTGAACAACCCGAAGCTCAAACACACACACACACACACACACACACAAATGACTCGTAGCGTCA